ACAGACAGAGTCTACAGTTACAGACAGAGTCTACAGTTACAGACAGTGTCTACAGCTACAGACAGAGTCTACAGCTACAGACAGAGTCTACAGCTACAGACAGTCTACAGTTACAGACAGTGTCTACAGCTACAGACAGAGTCTACAGTTACAGACAGAGTCTACAGCTACAGACAGGGTCTACAGCTACAGACAGTGTCTACAGTTACAGACAGAGTCTACAGCTACAGACAGTGTCTACAGTTACAGACAGAGTCTACAGCTACAGACAGAGTCTACAGCTACAGACAGTGTCTACAGTTACAGACAGAGTCTACAGCTACAGACAGTGTCTACAGTTACAGACAGAGCAGTGCGCACTGTTAGCGTGAGCAGTGTTTACATGAGTGATAAGAGGAAGTGTCACTTACTATATTATTATCATCTTCTGACTTTTTTAAAACAGAACAAAGGCCGTCTGAGAACAACAACACACACAGTCTGTTAGAGTGGAACATGAGTAGAACATGTATAAATGTGTAGAACATGTATAAATGTGTAGAACATGTATAAATGTGTAGAACATAAATGTGTAGAACATGTATAAATGTGTAGAACATGTATAAATGTGTAGAACATAAATGTGTAGAACATGTATAAATGTGTAGAACATAAATGTGTAGAACATGTATAAATGTGTAGAACATGTATAAATGTATAAATGTGTAGAACATGTATAAATGTGTAGAACATGTAGAACATGTATAAATGTGTAGAACATGTATAAATGTGTAAATGTGTAGAACATGTATAAATGTGTAGAACATGTATAAATGTGTAGAACATGTATAAATGTGTAGAACATGTATAAATGAACATGTATAAATGTGTAGAACATGTATAAATGTGTAGAACATGTATAAATGTGTAGAACATGTATAAATGTGTAGAACATAAATGTGTAGAACATGTATAAATGTGTAGAACATAAATGTGTAGAACATGTATAAATGTGTAGAACATAAATGTGTAGAACATGTATAAATGTGTAGAACATGTATAAATGTGTAGAACATGTATAAATGTGTAGAACATGTAGATGTATAAATCTATAGATGTACCATAAAATACCAAATAAATCCAGGTCTTTTAAACGCCGGTGCAGCAGGATTTCTGTGAGGAAGGATCATCTCCTGCCCCAAACTGCCACTGGTCTCAAATAAAAGCCTGGTCTGTTCAGTGACTCAAATAAACGCCCCAGAGATTATTTGGTGTTTTACGGTATAGATGTATAAACGTATAAACGTATATATGTATATATGCATAATTGTACAGAGTATATTATAGTTGTATAGATGTAAAGAGTATACACATATACACACATATATATATATATATATATATATATATATATATATATATTTGTATAGTGGTGTCGACTTTCAGGAGCCGCCGGCGCCGCTCGGTCGTACCCATCATATCAAAATACTGGTCGAGGATGGACTGGCAGGACTTGTAGTGCTGCCGATGCTCCTCCAGGGCCCAGATGAACAGCCTCATGTCGTGGGCGGGAGACTGGCGCAGATACTCTGTGAGCGTGAGCCCCAAAGACGAGAACATCTCAGGTTTACCGCCCAACTTCTCCAGGATGATCTCCTGAACCGGACCGAAGCGAAGCAGCAGAGACAAGTCCAACCGCTCCAGTTCCTCCGAGTAACGCTCCATGAAGAACTGAGCCGCCCTCAGACCTGAAGGAGACACACATGCTTACAGAGTGACCCCAGACTGACCCCAGACCGACCCTGACCCCAGACCGACCCCAGACTGACCCCAGACCGACCCTGACCCCAGACCGACCCCAGACTGACCCCAGACTGACCCTGACCCCAGACTGACCCCAGACTGACCCCAGACTGACCCCAGACCGACCCCAGACTGACCCCAGACCGACCCTGACCCCAGACCGACCCCAGACTGACCCCAGACCGACCCTGACCCCAGACCGACCCAGACTGACCCCGACCGACCCCAGACTGACCCCAGACTGACCCTGACCCCAGACTGACCCCAGACCGACCCTGACCCCAGACCGACCCCAGACGACCCCGACCCTGACCCAGAGACCCCAGACTGACCCCAGACTGACCCCAGACCGACCCTGACCCAGACCGACCCCAGACCGACCCCAGACCGACTGACCCAGAGACCCCAGACTGACCCCAGACCGACCCTGACCCAGACCGACCCCAGACCGACCTGACCCCAGACTGACCCCAGACTGACCCCAGACCGACCCCAGACTGACCCCAGACCGACCCTGACCCCAGACCGACCCCAGACCGACCCAGACCGACCCTGACCCCAGACCGACCCCAGACCGACCCCCCCACTGACCCCAGACTGACCCCAGACTGACCCCAGACCGACCCTGACCCCAGACCGACCCCAGACCGACCCCAGACTGACCCCAGACTGACCCCAGACTGACCCCAGACCGACCCTGACCCCAGACCGACCCCACCGACCCCAGACCGACCCCAGACTGACTGACCCAGACCGACCCCAGACCGACCCTGGCCCCAGACTGACCCCAGACCGATCCCAAGAACTGACCCCAGACCGACCCTGGCCCCAGACTGACCCCAGACTGACCCCAGACTGACCCTGACCCCAGACCGACCCAGACCGACCTGGACCCCAGACTGACCCCAGACTGACCCTGACCCCAGACCGACCCCAGACCGACCCCAGACCGACCCTGACCCCAGACCGACCCCAGACCGACCCAGACTGACCCTGACCCCAGACCAACCCCAGACCGACCCTGGCCCCAGACTGACCCCAGACTGACCCTGACCCCAGACCGACCCAGACCAGACCGACCCCAGACCGACCCTGACCCCAGACCGACCCCAGACCGACCCCAGACCGACCCCAGACTGACCCCAGACTGACCCCAGACTGACCCCAGACCGACCCTGGCCCCAGACTGACCCCAGACCGACCCCAGACTGACCCCAGACTGACCCCAGACTGACCCCAGACCGACCCTGACCCCAGACCGACCCCAGACCGACCCTGGCCCCAGACTGACCCCAGACCGACCCCAGACTGACCCCAGACTGACCCCAGACCGATCCCAAGAACTGACCCCAGACCGCCCTGGCCCCAGACTGACCCCAGACTGACCCCAGACCGACCCCAGAGACCCTGACCCCAGACCGACCCTGGACCCCAGACTGACCCCAGACTGACCCTGACCCCAGACCGACCCTGACCCCGACCGACCCCAGACCGACCCCAGACCGACCCCAGACCGACCCCAGACCGACCCCAGACTGACCCCAGACCGACCCTGGCCCCAGACTGACCCCAGACCGATCCCAAGAACTGACCCTGAACCCAGATTGACTCTGGCCCTGGTCCTGGTTCTAGTCCAGACCCAGACTGACCTGCAGACTCGAGGCTCTGGGCCCAGCTGTAGACTCTGGGCTGGAGGTCCTGGCTGTCGCTGAGGGACTGGATGAGGATTCGTGCCCACACTCGGTTCCTTCGCTCCAGCAGCAGCTCGACGGCGCCCCCCAGAGACGCCTCGGGCTGATCCAGACTCTGCAGGAGCCTCCGGGCCACAGGACTCCCTCTGGACACGTCCAGCTGCAACCACGGCCTGAGGCGAAGGCTCAGGAGAGACACACACGAGCTGCTCTCCTCACACAGGAGCTCCAGGTGCTGGCTGATCTGCAGGAGAACGTGGTCCCTGAAGTGGAGACGAGCTGGAGAAAAGAACATCTACATCAGTACGAACTGGAGAAAAGAACATCTACATCAGTACGAACTGGAGAAAAGAACATCTACATCAGTACGAACTGGAGAAAAGAACATCTACATCAGTACGAACTGGAGAAAAGAACATCTACATCAGTACGAACTGGAGAAAAGAACATCTACATCAGTACGAACTGGAAAAAAGAACATCTACATCTGTGAGAGTCACTTTAAGTTCCTTCACAACAGTGAGGACAAAGACACTGCACATGTGGAAGATCTGCAGAAGGTCTGAAGACTTCAGGGCTTAGAGTGGATGTTTTAGTTCTTTAGTTATTTTAAAATGAATTCTGATCCGGCAGAGTCCAGTTATGGACTAGGTTTTTGGCTGGACTTTATGTGAAAAGACGAAGGTCCTCGAGTTTTTAAAACTCTGGGCGTACACTGTGTGATATTTCCGATGTTTTCACTGAGCCTCAGCTCAAACGGTTTAAAAGTTCACAGCTCGCGATTCATGTTCTCACACTGAACGACTTGAACAGAGAGAAACCCTCACGAGGCGACTGGACTCAAAAACAGGTTTGATTTTCCAGTGACCTGCAATTATCGATCGGGAGCCGGTCGTGACGGATTAATCGGTTCTTGTTACCCCACGTTTACGACACGAAGAAAAACACAAGATTAAGACAAAACTCCATCCCAAAAACAGTCGCACCAATGAAATAACACTCATGGTCCTGACCTGTAGGTGTTGTGGTCCTGACCTGTGGGTGTTGTGGTCCTGACCTGTGGGTGTTGTGGTCCTGACCTGTGGGTGTTGTGGTGACCTGTGGTGATCCTGACCTGTAGGTGTTGTGGTCCTGACCTGTAGGTGACCTGTATGACCTGTGTGTTGTGGTCCTGACCTGTAGGTGACCTGTAGGTGACCTGTAGGTGTTGTGGTCCTGACCTGTAGGTGTGGTGTCGGTGACGTGGTCGTTGGTTGGATCAGACTCTGAGGCGTTTCCTTCACAGAGCTCAGAGACGTGTTTGTGCTGCTTCCTCCGGACCAGACGCTCCTCTTTAGACTGTAACTTCTTTATACTGAAAAACAAACACGTCTGAGTCATCTGGACTCGGGGGGGGGGGGGCTCTACATGTATGTCTACTGCAGGAATGGGAATGGTCTTTGTGGTCAGATTGTGTTCAGTTAGCGTCAGTGTGTGTAGGGGCTCAGTCTCACCTGGTGCACCTCTGGTTGACTTTAGGCTTCTTCGGCGTCACAGGTTTGGGAATGGCCACCTCAAACTGGAGAAGGAAGAAGAGGAGAAGAGTCAGAACAAACGTGTCAGGTACAGATGTGTGTGTGGCCTGCAGGAGGCGCCCTCAGCCCTCAGACTCACCTTACACTTCACCAGGCCTGTGGGACCGTAGATCTTTATTGAGTTTATCTGCCCACCGCAGTCTGGGGTCAAACACGGGTCTCTGAGGAACTCCTGCAACAGACAAGGTCCAGACATCAGATCAGGACCAGGACCAGGACCAGGACCAGGACCACACACACACTGATACAGACCTTCTCACTCTTCTCATAGAAGTGCAGACTCTTGAGGCTCTTCCAGCAGCTCATGTGGTACTCCACACTGCAGCTCTGACAGCACAGGATCTGAATAAAGCCCTGACGCACAAAAACACACAAAAACACACTTAAAACACACAAAAACACACTTAAAACACAAAAACACACTTAAAACACACAAAAACACTTAAAACACAAAAACACACTTAAAACACACAAAAACACACTTAAAACACACAAAAACACACTTAAAACACACAAAAACACACTTAAAACACAGGCTGCAGCTCTTTAAAATTCCTTTATCACACAAAACTGACTCCTGTGAGCTTTAAGTCATGTTCTAATGTTCTAATGTTCTAATGTTCTAATGTTCTAATGTTCTAATGTTCCTGGTCACACGAAGAGCTGGAGTTGTGTTTGTTTCATTCACATTTGAGTGACTCTTTATTATTAGTCTGTGACATCACAAAGTGGAACAGAGTGTTTTCTGTTTGAGAGAAGAACTCAAGCAAAATGTGCAAGTTCGTGTTAAACATGTGAATGAAACAAAACACGACTCCAGGTCTGTGTGTGTGACCAGGAAACTACATCAGAACATCAGGACATCAGGACATCAGGACATCAGGGTGATATTCGTTACAGACGGACCAGAGGGACTCACCTTAAAATCCGGGTCAGTGAAGTAAATTTCTTTCTTAACAGAACCTGTGCAGTTTTCAAGACGACAAACGGCGTCTGGAGGAGGAGGAAACCTGCACAACTCTATGGAGTCCTGAAGAAGGTTCTGAGGAACGAACAGAGAGGTCACCAACCTACCAAACTACCAAACTTCTGTACACTACAGTTCTTATCGTATTTTTTGGACTATAAGTGGCACTTTTTTTCGTGGTTTGTGTGTTTCCTGTGACTTATTCTCAGGTGTGATATATATTTTTAAAAATGTATAATTTCACGTTTGTGCCGACAGGGGGCGCTCTAGTCTTGTGTGTGAGTATCTGCTGTTCCTGTTCCTCCTGTACCACTGTCACTTCACTCTACTGCGCATGTCTCCTGCAGAAAGAGACTCTGTCCTGATGCAAGCCGTGAAATCTGCAGTCCAAAACGGAAATCGAGCAGCAGAAAGAAAATTTGGAGTGAGCGAGAAAAAAGTGAGGGACTGGAGAAAACACAAAAAGCTCATCGTGGGTTAAAAGCTGGATTTAACTGGAGGTGTCGGAGTTGTTCAGAAGTGACACGAGGATGAAGAACTGAAGTGATTTAGTGATTTGGAGTGAAACGGAGAGTTTGGTTCAACTTGTTCTGTTCTGTTGTTTCTAGTTTATCTGAAGAACTGTCAAATATGTGACAGCGTTAACAGTCTGTTCTTCTCTTCTGTTGTTTTTACTACAACTTCACTTTCAACAGGAAATGTCGGCTCCTGGTCTTTCATTTGATAAAATTAAGTTCCTCCCAAAACATGTGACTTATCTTCTTCATTGTGCATTTTTTGGCTGGGGCAACTTAAACTTCAGCGCGACTTATAGTCTGGAAAATACGGTACTTGGAACAGAGTTTCGGTACTCAGCTCTAGTTCTAATGTTGTATAATGTTGTATATATATTTTAAATTTTTATTTGTTTATTTATTTCATTCATAAAGTATAAAAAAAACTCAACAGTGCCATAACATCAAACACAAGAAATGAATGAAAAGGAGCAGAAAGAAGAAGAAGAGTCTTAATCTTCTGTTCTCTGCTCCTTTTCCCTTTTCCAAACAAAACATCAACACAGAGAGTCACTTTAGAACATTTCAAATCAGAACATTTCAGTTAAGGCACAATTATTCATCAATTACAAACAGAAATCTTCACGTTTATGGACCACAACTTAGTTTTCTTTTTCATACAAACACGTTGCATTTGACTTGATGTGTTTTTTAAATGTCGTCATTGGACTTGATTCTTTTCTTTGTCAAGACTCTTCTGTAAGTTTAGTCCTTTCACAGCGACGCTTCGCTCCACAAACTTGGTTCTGAATAAGTTTTTTTTTTAAACATGTCGGTTCCTTTTAAACTGCAGTCGTTTGTTCTTTTCTCAAACAGACTTTGATTATTTACAGGTGATACGTTGCACTTTGCTTCATACTTGACTTTGAGGAGACTTCAGTCGACAGTGTCATGTCTTTTCAACACTTTCAGTTGAACGGATCTACAGTGACTGTTGGTGAAAATTCTCAAGACCCTTTTTTATAAAATAAATAACGGCTGTAGGTGAGTTTTACATGTTGACACCCAAATTTCTACACAGTCCATCAGATCTGGTGCATTTATAGTTTATAAAGTTAATGGTAACACTTTATAATAACTACATCTTATTTAGCCGTAATAAAGCATGAACAAAGACTTAAATAATAATGAACAAAGACTTAATTAATAATGAAAAAAGACTTAATTAATAATGAACAAAGACTTAATTAATAATGATTCACGCTTAGTAACTACTTAATTACTACCTTAATTAGCACTTGCATTTAATTTACCTGTGCTGTAAATAGTTACTCATAATTATTTCATACTTAGTTACTCATGAACTAACCATTTGAACATTTATTAATCATTTGTAAACTATGAGAGAATGATTTACTATTAATGTAATAGTTGTTGTTTTGTGTTGTTGTTGTTGTGTTATTGTTGTGTGTTATTGTTGTGTATTGTTGTGTTATTGTTGTGTGTTGTTGTGTGTGTTGTGTGTGTTATTGTTGTGTGTGTTGTTGTGTGTTGTTGTGTGTTGTTGTGTGTGTTTGTGTGTTATTGTTGTGTGTTGTTGTTGTGTGTGTTGTTGTGTTGTGTGTGTTATTGTTGTGTGTTGTTGTTGTGTGTTGTTGTGTGTGTGTTGTTGTGTGTTATTGTTGTGTGTGTTGTGTGTTGTTGTTGTGTGTTATTGTTGTGTGTGTTGTGTGTGTTGTGTGTGTTATTGTTGTGTGTGTTGTTGTTTGTGTGTTATTGTTGTGTGTTGTTGTTGTGTGTTATTGTGTGTGTGTGTGTTTGTTGTGTGTTGTTGTTGTTGTGTGTTGTTGTTGTGTGTGTTATTGTTGTTGTGTGTGTTGTGTGTTATTGTTGTGTGTTATTGTTTGTGTGTGTGTGTGTGTTGTTGTGTGTTGTTGTGTGTTATTGTGTGTGTTATTGTTGTGTTGTGTGTTGTTTGTGTGTGTGTTGTGTGTGTGTTGTGTGTTGTGTGTTGTTGTTGTGTGTTGTTGTGTGTTGTTGTGTGTGTTGTATTGTTGTGTGTGTTGTGTGTTGTTGTGTGTGTTGTGTTGTTTGTTGTTGTGTGTGTTGTTGTGTGTTGTGTGTGTTATTGTTGTGTGTTGTTGTGTGTGTTGTTGTGTGTTATTGTTGTGTTGTGTTGTTGTTGTTGTGTTATTGTTTGTTGTGTTGTGTTGTTGTGTGTGTGTGTGTGTGTTGTTGTGTGTTGTTGTGTGTTAGTTGTGTGTGTGTTGTGTGTGTTTTGTGTGTGTTATTGTTGTGTGTTGTTTGTGTGTTGTTGTTGTGTGTTGTTGTGTGTGTTGTTGTTGTTTGTGTTGTTGTGTGTTGTTGTGTGTTGTTGTGTGTGTTGTTGTTGTTGTTGTTGTGTGTGTATTGTTGTGTGTTGTTGTGTGTGTGTTGTTGTGTGTGTTGTGTGTTGTTGTGTGTGTTGTTGTGTGTGTGTTGTGTGTTATTGTTGTGTGTTGTTGTGTGTGTTGTTGTGTTGTGTGTGTTGTGTTGTGTTGTTGTGTGTGTTGTTGTGTGTTGTTGTGTGTGTTGTTGTGTGTTATTGTTTGTGTGTGTTGTGTGTTGTTGTGTGTTGTTGTGTGTTTATGTGTTGTTGTGTGTTGTTGTGTGTTGTGTTGTGTGTTGTTGTGTGTTGTCATTGTGTTGTTGTGTTGTTGTGTGTGTGTTGTTGTTGTGTGTGTTGTGTTGTGTGTGTGTTGTTGTTGTGTGTTGTTGTGTGTTTTGTTGTTGTTGTGTTGTTGTTGTGTGTGTGTTGTTGTGTTGTGTTGTTGTTGTTGTGTGTTGTTGTGTGTTATTGTTGTGTGTGTTGTGTGTGTGTGTTGTTGTGTGTGTGTTGTGTGTGTTGTTGTGTGTTGTTGTGTGTTATTGTTGTGTGTGTGTTGTGTGTGTTGTGTGTGTTGTGTGTTGTGTGTGTGTTGTGTGTGTGTTGTTGTGTGTGTTGTTGTGTGTGTGTTGTGTGTGTTGTTGTGTGTTGTGTGTGTTGTTGTGTGTTGTTGTGTGTGTTGTGTGTGTTGTTGTGTGTGTGTTGTTATTGTTGTGTGTTGTTGTGTGTGTTGTTGTGTGTTGTGTGTTGTGTGTGTGTGTGTTGTGTGTGTTGTTGTTGTTGTGTGTTGTTGTGTGTTGTGTGTTGTGTGTTGTTGTTGTGTGTTGTTGTTTGTTGTGTGTGTTTGTTGTTGTGTTGTGTGTTGTTGTTGTTGTGTGTTGTGTGTTGTTGTGTGTTGTTGTTGTGTGTTGTTGTGTGTTATTGTTGTTGTGTGTTGTTGTTGTGTGTGTGTGTTGTGTTGTGTGTGTGTTGTTGTTGTGTGTGTTGTTGTGTGTGTGTTGTTGTTGTGTGTTGTTGTGTGTTGTGTGTTGTTGTGTTGTGTGTTGTTGTGTGTTGTGTGTGTGTTGTGTGTTGTGTGTTGTTGTGTGTTGTGTGTTGTTGTGTGTTGTGTGTTGTTGTGTGTGTGT